AAAAACACTGGTTATAAGGATGCTCAAGAAACTTAGTGAGTATCTCAACAACATAACAAAGACCCAGCAGAAATGAAGGATATGCTAATGGAAATAAAGAAAAATTTACAGAGAACCAACAATAGAATGGATGAAGCTGAGAATTAAAGGAATGATATGGAACATAAGGAAACAAAAAACAACCAACAGAAAAACAAGCAAAAAGAATCCAAAAACATGAGGATAGTGTAAGGAGCCTCTGGGACAACTTCAAGCACTCCAAACCCTGCATCATAGGGGTGCCAGAAGGAGAAGATAAAGAGCAAGAAATTGGAAATCTATTTGAAAAAATAATGAAAGAAAACTTCCCTAATTTGGTGAAGGAAACAGACATTCAAGCCAACGAAGCACAGAGTCCCAAACGAGATGGATGCAAAGAGCCCCATACTAAGACACATTATAATTAAAATGCCAAAGGTTAAAGATAAGAGAGAATCTTAAAAGCAGCAAGAGGAAAGCAGTTACCTACAGGAGAGTTCCCATAAGACTGTCAGCTGATTTCTCAAAAGAAATTTTGCAGGCAAGAAGGGACTGGCAAGAAATAGTCAAAATCATCAAAAGTGGGGACCTACAGCCAAGATTACTCTACCCAGCAAAGTTGTCATTTAGAATGGAAGGGTAAGTAAAGAGCTTCCCAAACAAGAAAATAACAGAGGAGTTCAGTATCACCAAACCATTATTCTATGAAATGTTAAAAGGACTTATTTAAGAAAAAGAAGATCAAAACTATGAACAATAAAATGGCAACAAACACATACCTATCAACAACTGAATCTAAAAAACAAACTAAGCAAACAAGATGAAGAGAGAGAATCATAGATATACTGTTTTGATAGTTGCCAGATTGGGGGTGGGGTGGGAAAATGGGTGAAGACGTGAGGATTAAGAAGTACAAATAGTTACAGAACAACCATGGGGATGTCAACTACCATATAGGAAATGGCACAGCCAAAGAATTTACATGCATGACCCGTGGACAGGAGCAATGGTGTGGGGATTGCTTGAGGGAGTGCAGGGTGCTGAATGGAGGGTGGCAAAGGGGGGAAAAATTGGAACAACTGCAATAGCATAATCAATAAAATATAATTAAAAAGAAGAAACAAAGGATAAAAATCATATGATCTTATTAATAGATGCAGAAAAAGCAACTCATAAGATACAACATCCATTTATGATTAAAACACTCACTAAAATAGGTATAGAAGGAATGTACCTCAACATAATAAAAGCTGTATATAACAAATCCTCAGTCAATATCATACTCAATGGTGAAAAACTGAAAGCTTTTCCTCTAAGATCAGGAATAAGACAAGGATTCCCATTCTCACCTCTCTTATTCAACATAGTCCTGGAAGTTCTAGCCAGAGCAATTAGGCAAGAGAAAGATATAAAAGGCATCCAATTTGGGAATGAAGGAATAAAAATGTCATTTTTTTTGCAGATTACATAATTCTGTATATAGAAAACCCTAAAGTCTCCACTAAAAAAACTATTAGAAACAATAAATACAGTAAAGTAAATGTACAAAACCTGCTGCTTTCGTATATACTAACAATAAAATTTCAGAAAAAGAAAATAAAAAGACAATTCCAACTGCAACCAAAAGAATAAAATACCTAGGGATAAACTTAACAAAGGAGGTGAAGGACCTATATACTGAAAACTACGAAGCATTACTAAGAGATTTAAACAGATACAATGAAATGGAAATATATTCTGTGTTCATTAATTGGAAGAATCAACATAGTTAAAATGGCCATATTACCCAAAGCAATATACAGATTTAATGCAATCCCCATCAAAGTACCAATGTCATTTTTTTAAATAAATAAGAACAAAAAATACATTTGCATGGAACCACAAACAACTTCAATAGCCAAAGCAATGCCGATTAAAAAGAAATGAAGCCAGAGACATCATGCTACCTGACTTCAAATTATACTACAGAGCTACAAGAATCAAATAGCACGCTACTGGCCAAAAAAAAAAAAAAAAGAAGAAGAAGAAGAAAAAGAGAGACACGCATAGACCAATGGAGTGGAACTGAGAGCCCAGAAATAAATCACATGTATATGGGCAAGTATTTTTTGAAACAGGAGCCAAAAGCACGTGATGGAAAAAAGAAAAGACTTTATAATAAATGGTGCTGGGAAAACTGAAAAGCCACATGCAAAAGAATGAACCTAGATTACAGTTTGTCCCCCTGTACAAAAATTAATTCAAAATGGATCAAAGACCTAAATATAGGATCTGAAACAATAAATTACATAGAAAACATAGGCACTAAACTTACGGACTTTGGTTATAGAGAACATTTTTTGAACTTGACCCCAAAGGCAAGGGAAGTAAAGGCAAAAATAAATGAATGGGACTTTATCAAACTAAAAAGCTTCCGCAGAGCAAAAGAAACCAACAACAAAATGCAAAGGCAACCAATCTAATGGGAGATGATATTTGCAAACAAAAGCTCCAACAAGGGGTTAATAACCAAAATATATAGAAAATTTAAACAATTCGACACCAAACAAACAATCCAATTAAAAAACGGGCAGAGGACCCGAACACACATTTCTCCCAAGAAGGCATACAAATGGCCAACAGATACATGAAAAGCTTTACTAGCTATTAGGGAAATACAGATCAAAACTACAATGAGATACCACCTCACACCTGTTAGAAAGGCTATTACCAAAAGACAGGTAATAACTAGTGTTGCAGATGTTGTGGAGAAACAGGAACCCTCAGTTCACTGCTGGTGGAAATGTAAACTGGTACAGCCGCTATAGAAAATTATGGAGGTTCCTCAAAAAACTAAGACTAGAGTTACCATATGACCCAGCAATCCCTTTTTTGGGTATCTACCTGAAAAACTCGAAAACATTTATTCACAAAGGTTTATGCACCTCTCCCTATGTTCACCGCAGCATTATTCACAGTGGCCGAGACAGGGAGGAAACCGGTGTCCTTTAATAGAGGACTGGATAAAGAAGATGTGGTACATATATACGATGAAATACTATCCAGCCATAAGAAGAGATGAAATACTCCCATTTGTGACAACATGGATGGACCTTAAGAGTATTATGCTAAATGAAATAAGTCAGTCACATAAAGCTAAGAACCATGTGATTTCACTCATATGTGGGACATAAAAGTGAAACTCAAAGACAGACAACAGTATGGTGGTCATCCGAGGGAAGTGGGTAGGGTGGTAAAGGTGACCAAGTGTATGGTGATGGAAGATGATTTGCCTTTGGGTGGTGGACACCCAAAACAATATAAACAGATCATGTATCACAGAAACATACACTTGAAATCTATGTGATTTTATTAACCAATGTCATGCCAATAAGTTTAATTTTGAAAAGAAAAAGCTAAGCATTCCTATGAAGGAAGACATCAAATGCCACACAGAGAAAGGCTATAAATGAAAGGCAATATATTACAGTTGGCTTCTTCAGACTTTTAAGTCCCTAAAACTAGGTTTTACATCAGCTCAGGCACATACTAAGCTTTGCACACTTATCTTCTCTAAGCTTAAAGTTCTATGAAATGAAGGGGAGGAAACTCAAAGATCCCTTCCAGTTTCTTTTCTTCCTTCTAATTAAAAAAGGGTGGCAGCCTCAAAATGAAGACATGAATATAAAAATATTAAACGTTTATCTTAAGAGAGAGAAGAAAGCATTCATAGCTTGTTTTTATTGGATTCAGTAATTTGGTAACAGCTTTCTGTGCTATCACCTGTCATAAATACAACTGATAAGCATGAAATATAATATGTGTTTAAAGAATAACTCCATCTTCATATCAGTGTACTGGAAACAAGAATAAAGAAATACTGTTTTTATTTAAAAAAAAAAACAAACCCAAAAAACAAGAAGAGGCAACCATCTGATAAAGCCAAAGTAGTTTATATTTCAAAATTCAAGTAGCTTTTAACCAGCTACCATAGTAAGCTAGAGCCCATTTTAAGAAGGAAAAAAAAAAAACCCTGTTAACATCTTCCAACTACATGAAATTGATTATCTCTGCCTAGTCAGCATTAAAGGTGCTGCCATCTTCATCCAATTACATTCAAATCTTCTCTGCATTCTACATATTCATTGTTAGACCCTATATTCTTATCTTCAGTAGAGCTACTGCGATTATTCATCTTGTCCTGAGATACACATATATGCATGCTCTCATACTGGTAAACCCTAAATAATATTACCATACAGAATCAGGTTTCCAGAACAGCAGGACATAAGCTTATTCACTAAGAACATGCTGGATTATTGATATGAACAATGGTTAAGAATTGGCAACACTGCCAATAGATCAATGGCCTATTCACAGCTCTTCTAAAGTGGCCTTAAAAGCGATGCTAGAGATTACACTGGTTTGCCATCATCTTTAAAGGTAAGACATATCTCCTGAACATCGCTGATCTCTCAGAAAGACTCCTGCAAGGATCCCATTTCTTCCAACCTTTAAAACACACATACTAATGCAACTGCCAAATACAGGGCTGCTGTGTTCCCCAAAGAGATAATTTATGTAAATCTGCTCTATGAAGAGCAATACCCTATATATATTTAAGAAAGTCTATCATTCTCTCTGTCATAAAGGATCTCTTTTTACCTACTGAAGGTGCTAAATATGGATACTAGAAAGAAGAAATTAACTTTCTTTGCTATATCTTTTAGAATTTTCTTCTATTCCATTAGTCAATAGTCTCTCTTCCCAGTCTTTCACTCAAAAAAAAAGTTTGCCTTTTTCTCCCAGAATAGCAATATATTTCCCCATTTATCACATGTTAACTTCTGAATCAACTGAAATAAGAATTTCAATATCAAATGAAGAATGTGCATGACACATCTTTCCTCAGACATGAATGGTTACTGATGCATAGCATGTATCATAGGCAAAAGCAACAAAACAAAACAAACCCAAGTGCAACAACTGAGACCACGACTTACCTTCTGGCTCACTCTCTGACCCTGAGAGACTGCCATAGCTGCTCATTAGTGAGCACAGGGCTGGTGTCACTTCCTTGGGTATGACAGTACTTAGTAGTGGTTTCTCCTCTTTATCAGACTCTGAAATAGAAAGGAAAATAAGAGTAAAATAATATACAAAAAACATCTACCACCATAAAAAGAATGTTGATAGCCCGTCACTCTCTTATATTCTAATGGAAAGAAAGTAATTTCTGATCCCTTCCTAAATCTTCCCAAAGAACAAAACCCAGGACACTGAAAAATTTCCTTTTGGTTTAAATCTTCATAGTCAGAGAAGCTATTTGCCCCAAAGAGAAGACACAGGGGCAAATGGAAGCTATACACAGCTCTGTTACTTACCATACTTCACAGGTTATGAAATTTGGGCTTTCTTAAAATTAACTTACACAATCTTTGCTATTAATTTATTTACTTTATTTATGCTATTAATTAATTTTATTAAGGCACTAGAAAGGCCAGAAATTTATTTAACTTCACTGGGTTAAGATAATTGACCCTGAAAATTAGATTTAGGAATAAAATATAAAAATACCCACCATTGTTGTTTTTAAGACCAGTTTTAAGGACAGAAGTAATATTAATGCCATCTATAGATAAAGGTTTAATCAGAGTTCTGCTGAAATTAATCAGCCCGAAGTTTTTATTATTTGGAACTTCTAAGAACTTAAGTAAACAAGACAAGCATGAGAATGGAGCAAGTCCTCAAGAGCCTGCCAAAGATAAAGTGTTTGATCAGAGCCCAGCAAGCATTTGTTTTTGGCAGCTCTAAAAATGTATTAATTCTTTGCAAAACAACCAATAAAAATAAAGCATGATGGAGAATGAAGACAATTGTAACTTGTTTATGTAATGAACTAACTCAACCCACAACCAATATAAAATGTTTCAAGACAGTATTTAATGAACTCAGTCTAGGGGAAACCAAAATAGGCCAATATGAAATGGGAGTGCACTTTTCTGTGAATAACTACCACCTTCTGGTGGCTGAAATTAAATCCTCTCTCCTCCACCCAGCCACACTGCCAGCACACCATCCAAAAACTGCTCCTGGTCAACTTTAAGCTAATTTATCCCCTATTCTTCTGGATTAATAAAGGGAATGGGAAATAAGTAGCATGGATAAATAGATAGGTAGGTAGACAGATAGACAGAATATAGATATATATTATTAGTGGATTAAACACAAATCCACCTCAATATTAGTATGGAGACTCTTCCTCCCATTGTTTGAATCATGACAGGCCAAACTCTATGCTTTCAGTCTAAAACCCAAACAGAGATACCAAAATGTACAATACACGCTCTTTAAAGACATGAGCACATTTCATCCTTATCAGGTATCAATTTCAGTATTAATTGCAGGTGATGAAACCAAATTCAGAGAATCTGAGTAACTTTCCCTTCAGGTTACAAAACTTAAAACAGTTGGGTCAAATTTAAGCTCTGGCTATCTAACTACAAATCCTAACTCTTAACTACTGAGCTAGTATATCTCCTATATCCATTCTCTTCTTAAAATGAAGCCATCCTATCAAAATGTCTCTTTGGTCAATGATTAATGCTAATAAATGTCTTCTTCCAGCTATAGTTCCATTTCTCTGTTCCCTTTTACAGCAAAATTACAAACAACTATTTGATATAATCACCAGGAAATCATCTGGACCTGAAATTCCCTCGGCTGTCTGACCCACTCCAGAATTTACTCCAATTTGTCTTTCAGGCCTGCCATGCCACTGAAGCTTGTCCTGCCAAGTTAACCTGCCCGCTCTGTGTTGCCAAGTCTAGAGGTCATTTCTTGGCTCTCATCTTACTTCACCTAAAGACAACATTTCACAGTAATCATGTGTTACTTTTAAAAACATATTCTTCCATGTGGCTTCCAGACCCCCATCACTTGGCTCTCCTTTCCCAAACTCCCTACTGAATTCTCCTCAGTGACCAACTTCCAATTTTTTCAAGTACCCCTGGTTCCAATCCTGAGCAAATCTTCCTCTTTATGCCTCCTCCTCCTCTTATGATTTCATTTTATCCAAAATCTTAAAGTACTATCTAGATGCTGGTGAATCATAAATTTATACCTCCAGCCTTCAGTTTTCCCCTAAATTCTAGGATAATGTAAGTGCCTGTTCCATATCACTGCCTGGAGGTCAAACAGGTCTCCAAGGTTAACAGGTCCAAAAACAAGCATCTGACTTCTTCTCCAAACCTGCCTTCCAGAAGTCTCCCCCTCAATAAATACCAACGTTTACTTCTCTATGCGTCAAAATCTAGCAACCATCCTGGACCCTTCTCTTTCTTTCACATACTATATCCAAAGTATCAATAAATGTTGTCAACTCTATTTTGAAAATAGCTCCAGAATCATACCCTTCTCATTACTTCCACTACTACAACCCCAGTCCAAGTCAACATTTCTTGCCTGGAATGACCCTGCCCACTGCTCCGTACAATCTATTCTCTACCTAAACACATAAGCAAGATCCTATCACCTTTCTGCTCAACCTCAGAGTAAAGTCTCAAGTCATTTCCTAGCCTACAATATCCTACTTGATCTGGCCCTTCACTTGTTTCTACTAAAATACTACCACTTTGTTCCCTGCTCACTCCACTCCAATCTTACTGTTCCCTGAGCACAGGAAGCGTGCTCTCACTGCAAGGTGTTTGCACTTGTTCCTTTCTCTGCTTGAAAGCTATCCCTTCAGGTATCAGCTCCTAATTTTATTTAGATTTCTTAGTGTCACCTTATCAGAAATACCTTCACTGCTTTTATAAAATAGCACACTCCTTTCTTCAACCATCATTCTCTATTCTTTCACTTAGCTTTACTCATCTTCATGTCACTTATATCAACTCATATGTATTTACTACATGCACCCCCAGTAAGGCCATAAGCGACAGGAGAGGAGTTTGGCTTTGTTCAGTATTTTGTCGTTAGAGTCTAGAAAAGTGCTCAACAAATATCTGAAGAACAAACTGTCGCATGAATGAAGGCAAGTTCAAAAAGAAAAACTTGTACAGATGACAGAGCTAGGAAGAGGTAGGGCCCCAATAGAAGCCTAGTTCTGTCTCGATTCAAAGCTCATTCTTTTTTCTTTTTTGTTTTAATAACATGATTCTATTTTTATTTAACAAAATAAAATACATGTTAATAAGAAAAAATATTTCTGGAAAGATATACAACAAAATGTGAGCAGTGGCTATCTCTGTAAGTTAAGAAAGTAAGTTGTTTTTATTTTACGCTTTTCGGTTTTCCCTCATTTTCTGCATTAAAATCATGAAATAATAGAAAATAAAGAAATAAACCCTAGAGGAAAATGTTACCTCATAATTCAATTCAAGAAGTGGAGGACAAGGCTTTAATTGGCCTACATAACTTCCCCTTCACTCTTTAATATTTTGAAACAATTTTAAATTTACACAAGTGTTGCAAAGGTAGCAGAGAATTTTCACACATCCTTCACCTACTTTCTCCTAATGTTATTATCTTACACAAATACAGTACATTTACCATAGCTAACAAACTGCACTGGTATAATTCTACTACTTAAATTATAGACTGTATTGTAATTTCACCAGTTTTTCCATTAATGTCCTTTTTCTATTCCAGAATCCAATCCCCCATTATCACATTGCGTTCTGTCCTCATGACTCCTCATCTGTGTCTCCTTCGGTCTATGACAATTTCTCAGTATTTCTTTGTCTTTCATGGACCTGACAGCTTTAAAGACTACTGATCAATTATTGTAGAATATCCCTCAGCTTTGGGTCTGTCTGGTGTTTTCTGATGATAATGCTAAAACTATAGATTTCAGATAGTGTCCTCTCATCGTATCATATCAGAGGGTCCATGATACCCACACGACATTACTGGAGATGTTAACCTTGATCACTTGGTGGTCTGCCAGGTTTCTCTGCTGTAAAGTTACTATTTTTCTCTTTCATTATTCTACTTCTTGAAATGAGTCACTAAGTCCAGACAACATTCAAGGGGATGAGAATTAACCTCTACCTCCTAGAGTAAGGAATATTAAAGAATTTTGGAGATACTCTAAAACCACCATGGTAAACCTTATTTTACCTTAAAGTGCTGCCACCAATTTTACCATTTATCAATTGTTCTTGCCTGAAACAATTATTACTGTGGTGTTCTAATGGTGACTTCCGGCTTCTCCCTAACTTCTTTTACAATTATTAATTGAAATTCTATAAAAAGATTTGTCCCTCTTCCCCTATATTTACTTGTATCAGTATGGACTCATGGATATTTATGTTATTCTTTGGGTTACCATCTATTATTTATTTTGTGGCTCAAATTGCTCCAACTTTAGCCATTGAAAGCATATTCCAGTTGGTCCCTATATCCTTTTGACACGCCCACATCCTGCTGTTTTTGAGCACTTTCTTACTTCCTGGCACTATATTAGATCATCTTGGCTCACTCTGTATTCTCCCCGTCCCAGACTTGAGTCATTTCTCCAAAAGGCTCCAGTCTCCCTAATCGGAGAATGGTAAAGCCACAGTCTGAGTGCTTGATGCACTCATTATTAGGAGTGTCCCAAAGCTCACTGTACTCGCCCGCTTCCCCAAGGTGAGAGTTAGGAGTTCACACAAATGAACCACCACATGTAATAGCAGTTGGAAAAGGGGCACTGCCCTTTTGACTTGATCAAAGTGTCCCCCACAGTGACTTTTCATCTCAAAAGAAAATGCCATTGCAAAGCCCCCCAGATCTACCTCTCATTTTTAGCAGCTCTCCTGGAAATACTGTGCCAAAGGCACTGTGATGGTTGACACTACTTAACACACTTCACTTATTGTTTAATAAAAACGGCCAAAACATTTCTCTCAACTAAAAATATCAGTATGATATCTTATCAGAAAATGGTAAAATCAAACCTTATAATGATTATAAAATACCAGCTCAAATGATTTCTCTTACTGTTAAAACACCAACGACACTTTTCTTACGGTAAATCCCACCTCTCTCTTATACATACATATCATGTTCCCACTAACCAAAAAAATAATACAATGATCTAAAACTCATCACTAGACTATGAGTGTCGTGAAGGCAGCAGGAGACTTCTCTGAATTACAGTTCTGGGCAAGCAAAATGTAGGACCTCAGTAAATCCCCACTGAAATAAAAATGGGGAAACAAATTGCGTTTCAAATGTCTTATCCAACTCTAAACACTTACTGCAAAAGCTTCGCCTCTGGCTTCTTTCTACAACTCATTTCTTTACTTGCTTCTCCTCTCCTTCCTCCTCCTATTTCCTATTGCTTTAATGGAACAAACACAGTTACATGTTCTAGCCTCAAGAACATTTATAGATTAAAGAAAACAATATCTATTGAAAAAAAATCACCCTTAAAAAATGGGAACTTGGCTTTATGGTTTCCAGCTCTCAAAAACAGGCATTTAACAACGGGCATTCATGACAGCTGAGGTGCTAGGCTAGCTTCTTTTCTTACTTTAACATCTACCTTTTAAACAACAAGCCCATTTATCCTATGTGTCAGTACATAGTTAGACTGATGTCCTAGTGTTCTATAATATCTATATTGTAACAAATGACTAACAAATTGGATCCTTTTTGTTTTGTTGATGCTGAGGCACTTTAGTCTGTGATACTCAAGGACACACTACTGCCCAGCTCCTTTCTTTCTAGCTATGTTAGAACTTACTAAAACCACAGGCCAGGAAAGCCATTAAACATGTTGCATCCATATTTAAAGAAAAGCAACAAAATAAATGTGGTCCTAACAAATGAAATACCAAAAAGACTAAAAGGAAATGTAGTGGTAACAGGCCATACTCAAAGCTGATCAGCTGGGAGACTCCAAATGACATGCTTTCCCTTTGAAACAATATCAACCCCATGTTTAACGCACTTGCACAATTAACGAGAGTTGATCTACTACCAAGCGTCACAAAAAGGCAGGCTCAGGCTTCCTTTCTAAGCATGTTATTAAGTTTATAAAGACTGAGAATCTCTCCTATCTAAAATGAGAATGCTGATGTCTGCATAAGATTCTGAGCCCCCCCCCAAAAAAGGAGAAATGTAAGAAATTGAGAAATCTCCATTTTTAAAATAAGCTTAGTGCTGAAGAGTGTTGACTGCCACATGAGAGCAAGAACAGGACTGTATCACCATGCTGCCCTAAGACCTGCAACTTGAATAACAAGCACACTACAAGATTTGACTGGCTCTGGTCCAAGGTGAAAGAAGCTGCCTCCAAAAAAGTGTAAAACTGCTATGTTGGAGAGTGGAGGTGCTGAGAATACAAGTATTTAGGGCATGCAAAAAAAAAAAAAAAAAAAAGTATGTGTGGTTTTCTGTAGCTCTACCTGAAATGAAAAGTTGAGGAACCAATGGTCTAAACATTGAAGTGGAAAATGTAAAAATCCAGAAGAAATCTGAGAAATTTTTATGACATGAATTTAAATGGAATCTTTCCCACAAAATGAGAATACAAGGTATTTACTATGTTGTTCATATCTAAAGTGTCTCTTAAAGATCTAGCTAGACGTAAGTAAAAGCAAGATATATAATAATCTTTTCATTGATATTTCACCATATTAACACTTACTGAAATACTTCTTTAAAAATGAGAACAGAACGACCCACCTGCTAAAGCTAACAAAACAAAAACAACAAAGAATACTCAATGTTAGAGTTCTTCAAATGTTAGAGAACTGCACAAAGTGAATAATTACATAACTTTCAAATTAGTAATTTACTGATTACAATGGTAGCCTTCATATTTGTGTTTCATGTATTTTAATGATATGAAAGTTTATTTTTAGGTACAGATGGTATTTTATCATCAAGGTCACACATAGATGTGAAGAAGTGTAGTCTCTAACACTTTTTGAAGCGGAAAAAAAAACAGCGCCCAAGAGTTAACTCAGTGATGCCCAAAATATCATCGGCCTTTTCCCCTGCTATCAGCAAGGGTAAGAAGATGCCTTTTCTAAACTCTTTCCAACACCTCAACTATCCTAGGTTCACGCAATATATTTTTTAGACAAATTCAGACTTCACATTTAGAAGTACTATGGTGTACTAGTGGAGTCAGACTCTTTATGTTCAAACTCTGGCTCTGCCATTAACTAGCAGTATGAGTAAGGCAAATCACTTACCTTGTGTTCTTCAACTCTAAAATGGAAGTAGCAACAGTTCATATGTAAAAGGTTTGTTATAAGGAGATGAGTTAACATATATATAAAGCTTTTACAGCACAGTAAACACCTTACTTAATAAGTGGTAGCTTAGCTTGTGTTGAATGTAATCTTATTTTTAGCCCAACATTCTCTTATGCCAAGACTGTTTTCTGACCTAGTTCAGTCAGCGGATTAGTTATCTCCCTGTTTCTTGCCAGATATAAGTTCAATAATTTTTCATGTGAAGCCACTGTCTTCCAGGTTGAACAGAGACTGTTAGCAAACCTACAAAATAAGCTCAGTCCACTCACTAATAATACTCCTTTGCAAAATAGGACACATATGCAATGAGATAGTCTCCCAATGCTACTAGAAGAAAAGGTGGTGGAAATATTTACATATACATTTTCATTTTTCAAAAGGGGAATCTGGGCCTCAGAGGCTGGATATCTGCATGGGACAGGAGCATTTTGGTTCTTCAATTTTTCAACTTATAAGCAAGAGTAAACTTGCCCCATAAGTTCTAAAGGAAATTCAATAAACATACAAATATATTCTATGCCCTGAGGAAGAACAATATTACTCGAATACTATGAGTTAGTTATTATTTACCCAAAGAGATTGTGTTCATGCTCAGTAGCATAAATAATACTAGATTCCATTGGGATTACTAATTTATAGGCAAGGCAAAATTCACATAATTGGGCAAATTTGAATCTACAGTATCAATACACTTAAAGTTCCAAAATTACATTATACTATGGAAATTATTCAACATATATTATCTTTCTTTCACATTCTGCCTGCCTCATGCGCCCACCGGCAAGGTTCAGAAAAGATGTCCTGAAATGAGGTTTTTGACAAGGAATTCCTAAAAAAAAAACAACAACAACATCATTCTACCTTTTTACATATTTGCAATTAAACTCTCCACAAACAATGCTATGAAGAATGAACTTCAGCATCACTGTTTATACTTATAAACACACTATTTCCCTGTTTAACTTACCAGAATCAGTATTTACCAAAACACTCAGAGGGTCTGCATTTGTCTCGGGTCGACCTTCAGGCTGCAAGTCACACAAATGGTTGCCTGATCCAATGGCTGCTCTCTGTCCAGCTCGGTCATTTTTCCATTTGTGATGTCTGCCAGGACTTCTGATTTTTGCCATCTGTGAATGTCTGGACATTCCCCTCATCTTACTGGAGGAGAAAAAAAGCAATTCTTAATATAAAAGACAATGACATTAAAAAAATATTGAAAAAGTCTATGTGAATCCAAAGAAATATAGCTGTCAATCAATCACTTGTAGCCTAGTTTATTAGAGAGACCAGAATAAAATAAATTCAATGGGAGTAAATGACTTCAGAGAACAGCTTTAAAACAGTGTTGGTGGAGATCTGGTGGACAACAACCCCAACAGCCAACCCCTAGGTTGTGGAAACTCTAAGCTCTTTCACCTGTAACCTACTGTTACTATATTAGAAGAGCCCTATTAGACTTCCGACCAAGATGAAGGAAGACACACTTTGCTTCCTCGCACAACCAAAAGGACAACAACATATTTAAAACAAAAATAACCAGAACTGCCAGAAAATCGAACTGTATGGAAGTCTTACAACGAAGAAGAAACATACAGATCGGTAGGAGGGGTGGTGAGGGGCAGCCATGGTGGAGAGGATGCATGGCAAGGTGGTAGCTGGCGGACTGGGCAGTCCCATATTTGCGTGTGGGTAAACAAGGAGGAACAGCAGGGGAGTGAGACACATTGCACAATCCAGGGTTCCAGTGCGGGAAAAGGAAAGCCTCAAAACCTCTGGCTGTAAAAACCTGTGGGGGTTTTTGTGGTAGTGGAAGGCTCTCCCAGCCTCACAGGAGAGTTTGTTGGAGAGAACCATGGGGTCCTAGAACCTACACAAACCTACCCACCTGGGAATCAGCACTAGAAGGGCCCAATTTGGGTAGTGGGTAAATGACTGAAAGCTGGCAGAGAGCTGAGCAAGAGGGCTTGTTCCCTCTTGGACCCCTCCCCCACACACAGCCTCACAACGCAGTGACCTTTGTTGCCCCGCCCTGGCGAATACCTAAGGCTCCACCCCTCCCAACCTAACAGGCACACTGAGACAAAGAAATATGACCCAAATGAAAGAACAGATCAACACTCCAAAAATATGACTAAGTGATGAAGAAATGGCCAACCCATCAGATGCAGAGTTCAAAACACTGGTAATCTGGATGATCACAGAAATGGTTGAGTATGGTTGCAAAATGGAGGAAAAGGCAAAGGCTATGCAAAGTGAAAGAAAGAAATATACAGGGAACCAAGAGTGAAGGGAAGGAAACCAGGAAGCAAATCAACGACTGGGAGCAGAAGAAATAAACATTCAACAAGAACAGACTGAAGAAACAAGAAATCAAAAAAAGAGGAGAGGGTTAGGAACCTCTGGGACAACTTGGAACATTCCAGCATCTGAATCATAGGGTGCCAGGAGGAGAACAAGAAGAGCAAGAAACTGAAAACTTATTTGAAAAAATAATGAAGGAGAACTTCCCCAATCTGGCCAAGGAAAGACTTTCAGGAAGTCCAGGAAGTTCAGAGAGTCCCAAAGAAGCTGGACCCAAGGAAGCACACACCAAGGCACATCATAATTACATTATCCAAGATTAAAGATAAGGAAAGAACCTTAAAAGCAGCAAGAGAAAAGGAGACAGTTACCTACAAAGGAGTTCCCATAAGACTATCAGCTGATCTCTCAAAAGAAACCTTGCAGGCAAGAAGTATTTAAAGTTATGAAAGGGAAGGACCTACACTGAAGATTATTCTATCCAGTAAAGCTACCATTTAGAATGGAAGGGCAGATAAAATGCTTCCCAGATAGGGTAAAGTTAATGGAGCTCATCATCACCAAGGCCTTATTATATGAAATGTTAAAGGGACTTATCTAAGAAAAAGAAGATCAAAAACTATGACCAGTAAAATGATGACAAACACACAACTATTAACCGAGCCTTAAAAAACAAAAACAAAAACAAAAATAAACTAAGCAAACAACTAGAACAGGAACAGAATCATAGAAATAGAGATCACATGGAGGGTTATCAGAGGGGTGAGGGAGGGTGAAAATGGGGAAAATGTTACACGGAAAAAGCAGCATAGATTGTAGATGCAGGATAGGCAAGAGGAGGTTAAGAAAGATATAGGAAATGGAGAAGCCAAGGACCTTGTATGTACAACTCATGGACGTGACCTGAGGTGGGAGAGAATGCTGGTGGGAAGCGGGGTGCAGGGTGGAGGGCAACAGGGTGGATAAAGAAAAAAAATAATAAAAAGAAAAACAATAAATAAATTCAATGGCTTCCAAAGACAGCGACCTCTATGGAAGGACTTTTAAAAGACTAACACACACAGACATATTATCAGTTCCAAGATGCACATTTCCTCCCATATTTTGACACTTCTAAAATTGGCCTATGTTGTACAATCAACAGGAGATGAATTTAAGAGGCCACTTTCTTTCACTCCTATTGTACGTAACATAAACGGGTTTCTTAGATTTTATAAAGTACGTTAACTTTTGTCTACTCATTTTAAGGAGCCTTAAAGTTTCTGAAGCATTTACAAATATGCTGCCTTGTTTGATCTTCATGACAGCTCTTTGAAATTGATAAGATAGGTACTATTTACTTCATAAGAGGATAAACTTACAGACTGCACAATTTCACAGCTACCTCAAATCAACTGCCCTCTCAACCACTACAATCACACCCCTTAGAAGGAAAACAAATAATTATGTGAGCATATTCTAATGTAAACTCTGTGTAGGAAAAAAAAAGGCCGTTTTAAAAAATCCCTGGTCTGTGTGGCTCAGTTGGTTGGGAGTTGTCCCACAAACCGAAAGGTCATGGGTTTGATTCCTGGTCAGGGCACATGCCTGGGTTGCAGGTTCAGTCACAGTTAGGGTGTGTGCAAAATGCAACTGACTGATGTTTCTCTTACACATCTGTATTTCTCTCCCTTTCTCCCTCTCTTCCTCTCCCTCTGAAATCAATAAGCACATCCTGGGGTGAGGATGAAAAAAAGGATTATCATCTACATTCTCAGTAGACTATACTATAATAAAAGGAATCCTTTGGTGGGGCTGAGTTTTCACAAAGATAGTAAGAGGTCTGTCCAGAAAAAGTCCAGCCATTATTAATATAATGAGAATGGTGTGCTAAACATCAAGGTAACCTGACAACCAAGGAAAGTAGACTGGAATACAAGTGTATGAAGAATGACGACTTCATTGTACTAGTTAGTTGGGACAGTAGACACCACTGAGTGAGCATGTATACTGTGTGGCTGTTGCATTCAAAATGACTGAGCAAGTAAGGGCAATGAATCTGCATCAAATTTTGTGTCAAACTTGAACATTCCTCCACAGAGGCTATTCGGATGATTCAGAAGGCCCCAGCTATGGGCAACTGGTGATTGGCAGCTTCATCACGACAGTGCGCCCACTCAGATATCGCATCTTGTGCAGAGGTTTTTGGCAAAATCTCAAGTTACCCAAGTGACTCAGCCCCGCTACAGCCCAGATTTGGCATCCTGAGACTTCTGGCTTTTCTCCAAACTAAAATCACCTTCGAAAGGGGAGATTTCAGACCATCAATGAGATTCAGGAAAATATGACAGGACAGCTGATGGCAGTTGGGAGAACTGTATGAGGCCCCAAGGTGCCTACTCTGAAGAGGATTGAGGTGTCATTGTCTTATGTATCTTGTATCTTCTTCAATAAATGTGTTTATTTTTCATCTTACATGGATAGATACCTTCTGGAAAGTCCTCATATGTTTATCCTAATTTGTCATTTATCAGACAAAATTCATTTTTCCATTAATAATAGAGGTTGCAGTTCAGAGTATAGAAATTAGAAATCTGGGTTCAAATCCTAATTTTGCCACTTATTAGTTGTGTCTCTTGGACAATATTAACACCCCTAACACCCCTGACTCAGTTTACTCCCTCATCTGTAGAATGGAAATCAGAGGAATAGAGAAAATTACTATAAAGTGCTTTGCATCTAGAACAAGGTAACACACTTGGCCCCTAATAAATGGTAGTTATTATCAAAACATTTTCTAAATAATTTGCTAAACCGACATATTCATTTAATATCTCTGCAGTACAGAGGTTCTTAATCCTTTTAGATTCACTGTAATTTTCACAGAATCTCATTCCAAAAAATATCATATATATGCTACAAATTTAGCAGAAAACCATGGACCAATTTGCATTTTCCACTCAGAAATGTTGGGCATATACCTCAATCAAGTTATGAAAGCGAGAACAAACACAATTGCTGCCTCTGGCCCACCATCACCATGAGGATAATCAGGCTCCCACTCACAGATGCATTCCTTGTATCCAGAGAAGCTGCCTGCACCTGACCACAGATGGCTTTTGAAAGATCATCCTTAAAGTAATCACTAATAAGTAATGAGTTAGGAAGATCTTTAAATGATGAGACCAGTAAGACTTGATTGACTAAGTAGTATATTTAGTATCTGTATCCCACCCCGCCTTGGAGGGATTACTTCTGTTACACTATTGTTTGATAATCATTTAAGAGGAAAATTTATTTTATTTTTTTAAAGATTTTATTTATTTATTTTTAGAGAGAGGGGAGGGAGGGAGGAAGAGAAACATCGATGCATGAGAGGTGCATCAATCTCGCATACCCCCGACTGGGCATCGGGCCTGAAACCCAGGCACGAGCCCTGAATGGCGATCGGACTGGCCATCTTTTGGTTCTCAGGCCGGCACTCAATCCACTGAGGCACACCAGCCAGGGCTAAAAGGAAAATTTATTTAATCAATACTTAAAAAGAGTTACACAAAGTGTAACGTAAATAAAAATGTAGATGCATTTAAGTGGAGATTAGGAATAATTACATATAAAAAGCGAATACAGAGGAAAATATAGTACTAAAAATTATTCAATTAATCCAAAAGGTGGCAAGAAAAGAAACAAATAGGAAAAATTTAAAAAATAAATAGGACAATGGCAGACCAGAACCCAACTGTATTAGTAATTACATTAAATACAAATAAACTAAACCCTAACTAAAAGATAATGACTTTTCTGCCTGGATTATGAATGTAACAAAAAAGACCAAATTATATATTCTCTATAAAGAAATTTACTTCAAAAGTTTAAAA